TATCCCAGCCCAAACCAGCATACCAGGCTGTAGACAACCAAAATTTACATGTATGAACACCTTGCTTTTATACATCTGTCTCCCCCAGAGGAGATACAGATCGGATTGGTGTCCAAGCCAGCGTACATTGTGCCGACCTCGTGTCAATGATGTTCATCACAAATCCCTAGCAGTAATCCTCAAGTTTACAGCTGCCTGAAGCTACTACTGGTAGCAAAGGTGAGCTGTAATTTCCCCTTCATGTCCATCCATTAGACATCCACAGCTCTGAGCCCCCTTTCTATTGGAGACCTTGTCCTTTGTTCAAAGAGCAGACCATTCCTTTTTATGGGAAGGAGTAGAAGGAAGAGGAAGATGCAATTCTCTCTGCATTTTGCCCCTCTACTCCCAATTTTTTCTGTAGTGATAATCCAAGAGTCCAGCCGTCATCCCGTGATCTGGGTGATTCAGGCTCAGCTCCCAAGATTTCAAATCACGGGTAAGATATGCACAGGAAAAAACAGTCTGGGGAGGAGGAGCAACCAGAAGCCAGAGTTTCTCCTTCCAGTGAGTACGGCTAGGTTATGTAGTCATGCTTTTTCTCTGGTCCAACAACGTTTGAATTCTTCTGGCACAGTTTCTGAGGCTCAGCAGAAAAAAGGGCAAGTGCCAGATGACTTTCCTGGGAAACACACGAATTTCTGAAAGCAGCTCTCACTGCTTGGCCTAATGGTCTGAGTGCTAGGGAAAGGGCAGGGGACGGGACAGAAACTTTTCCTCTGGATGTGTTTTGCAAGAAAGTGGTTGCTGCAGATGAATTTTACCTGAACCCAATCCTGTCAGTATAAGGCGTGGGTAAAGGTCTTTGCTCAAGGAAATCTTTTAATGTATTTATAAGCAACAGTTGCATGGCTCTGTCAAGATGGGAGCAGTCTGGGTGTGTTTTGAGACTGTCGTGGTCACTTGAGGGGTCTTAAAGTAGAAGAGCATGGTACATGTTTTTCTCTTAAGAGCAGCTGTCTGAAGGTGTTCAAAGTTGCTCCTAAAGATGAAGATGGGGGCCCAGTGGGACTGGTGAAAACAGCTAGCCCCCAACCCACAGCAGTGAGGCCATTGGCATGCTGTGGAAAACCTCAGCAGATCCCTATGGGCATCGTTAGATGTCTTCATACCTTTAAAAAATCTGCTCCCTGATGCCATCTACTTTCTGTCAGGGAGCCGGCTGGGACCATGCGGGCTCCCCTGGAGTGGCAGGGCAGGGCCTGGCAGCCAGGGTCCATCCCACCGCCTCCGCCAGGAGCAGGGCAGCAGGCGGGCACTGGGGCAGCCCCAGCCCCGCGCATCGCGCACTTCCCTGGGGATGGGGATGGGCTGAAGCCAGGCCAGGACATGGGCCCATGGGTGGGCCCAGCTCAGTGGGACCCATGGCCAAGCAGGGCAGGGCTGTGGGGAGCTGGAGACTGGCCCTGCTGCAGCATCACTGGGCAGGAGCCTATGGCCCCAGGGGGCTGACATGGGGTCCTGGGCCGTGGGCAGGGTGGGGGACAGTCAGGGCTGGCAGTGCCTCAGGACCCCACCACTTGCAAGCACTGGTCGATCCAAAGGCAGGTATGCATTACCAGCCGTCCCCTCTCCTGTCCACCCGCTGCTGGGAAGCCCACTGCTCCCCTTAGCCGCTCTGGGTGACGTCTCACCTGTATGACTTCTGTGTGCCTCTTGCCTCTGCATGGGCTTGGATTTCACCCTTGACGCGTATTTGCAAAACACGTGCCACTAAATCCAACTCCCATATGTAATCTAAGCATCATTTGGGCCTGAGAGTGACCATCTCAGCTGTCAGGATATTGATTCAAATGTCCCTGAAGGGAAATGCGGCTTTCCTATTTGGGTGAAAGTTAGTCCCTGTGCTTTTCACAAGTAACAAAACCATATCGAGTGTCAAACTGACCTGCGACACTCGTAATGAAAACACCCTGCACCACAAGCAAAGCTGCCTGGGGGCATGTGATTCCCCGGACCAGTCAGCCACCGCAAGATCCTTTGCAGCTGTTTAGGGTGACTCTGCTATGGGTGGCGTAACACCCATGTGGGCACACCGCATGGTGAACTCGGAATCTCAACATGACTTAAATGCTATCTTCAGACAAAATAAACTCTTCAGAAACATAAACAAAGACGTTTATTGCAAATAAAAATCCACATTCACATCATTAAATCTTATGAAGTGTAAGGAGGTCATTTTGCAAATTGCGAAGCATCCATGTGCACAAGGGCTGCCGTTTTCATCAGAACAGCTGCCTGGGACATGCATATATTTATCTGAATGTGCCAAGCCAAATAACCCTCTATCTACAAAGGTTTTGATTTGGCTGGTGACATCTTTCTGACACTTCCACAGTTTCATTTTCTCTGGATCTGGCAGTAGAGGCTCATAGAAAACCCCAAACCAAGAATCTGGAAAACAAAGACATTTCTGGTATTACTTGGCAGTCCTGGAAACCCCAGGATACAACTGATACACAGCGGGAACATTTTGTTTGCAAATATCTTGGATTTACATGCAGGCTAAATCTGCTATGCAGAAGATCTTTTCCAATGTAATTCTTAAAGAACATGACTCTAGAATATAGAGTGAAATCAGTATGTGCAACAGGCAAGACTGCAGACATGATGGAAAACTATAATTTGTTTAAAAGATGGATTGCCTCTATGGATGGGGAAACCTGTAACTCTGGGGATTTAAAATGCAGTTGCTAGCTGCAATGGCGCAGCAAATACTGAGAAGTTCAAGAAAATGAGACAAAAATTCAATCTTTTATTTTCTAAGAAAGTTGGAGGAACTTTCTGATTCCATTGCATATTCTGAGGGTTGTTCCCCTTTGAAATCTTTCTTCCTTTCCACTGTCACTTTCCTTTATGTAAATATATGTGTAAAGGCACACATATGTATATGTATACAGGCATACATCTATACACGTACCCCACTGTTTTGAGTGGCAAATGATCATGCAACAACTATTTTATATTCATCAGTAATAGATTTGGGATAGAAACACTGAGTCTACTAAAGAAGCTGTTGCTTGAAATATAAAATCCAGTAGGGTCACCTTCTGTAGTGGGAATTACTGGGTGAAATTCCACAGCCTGTGACAGACAGCTGGCGAGATGAGAAGATCAGAAAGCTTCCTTCTGGATTTAAAATTAACCAGTCTGTAAAGGTGTTTCACAAAAGTGGAAAGTATCCAAACGACATTTTTGAAGCCATAAACACCAGGGTGCTTCATTTATTTAAGGAAGAGACAGTGGAGAGTGTACAAAACACAGGGGTACAGCTAAGATGAACTCACAGCTGGAATAAGATGACAGGGCTTCCCTGACATACCATGCCCGCATTTTCCCTTGCACCCAAGTGAAACTGGGCCCTTCTTCTCAGTATCATTTCCACTAATAGGGTGAGCTAAAACCATTAACAGCCCACAAGTGGCACAATGGAGCAGGCAGAGGGGGGAACACTAGGGCAGAGCGTTTTCCTTGTCCACTTCTTTTTATCTGGGTTTTTCCAGAGCAGAGAGATGGTTAAGCATGTGGCCTTTGATTTGCAATTACTTGAAAAGTCGTAATATGTTAATATCTTTGGAAAGGCTAAATGTTTATCAAGTGTAAATTGCCAGCTGACAATTTGTACCAGCTGAGGCTCATATTGTTTGTTCATGTTGTTTTCTAATCCTTTTATGATTGGGAGAGGCAGCCACCACAGAAAATGCCAACTGGAGAACAGGGAAGAATAATGGCCAATGAACTAAATGCTACAAATCATGTAACAGCAGTAACTGGAGCAAAGTGACTTATAACTTACCTTCGAGATACAAGTGCAATTTTACACTTCTATTATATTTTTAAAGGCCTTTTAATATTGGTATATTATTTCATCTATTTTCCCCCCAAAGTCTACATATAGGCGAGAGACCTGACCCCCCCACATATAGCACCTTAAATAACATGAAGCCTGTGCCGAGCAAGAAGTTAGTGGCCTGTCCTCTCCCAGTGCTGCAGCTGCGTAACTCTTCCCCGCTTACTATTATTTTCCTGGAAATGTATTTTTGAGTTGGGGCTCTTGCCCACTCTTCTACCACGAGGAGCAATCCTCTGCCAATGATGTTAAGAAGTTTTCACTCGGAATAACAGACTGAACTCTGCACAGCAATCTTTGTCATTTCTGCTTTTCACTCAAACATCCATCGGCGGGGGGCGGGGGAGGAGGGAAACCACAGAGGAATAGTGAAAAGAAAGAAAATGACCGAAGAAAGCAACATGATGAAATCCCCTGTTTCTCTGTCATTTTCTCCTAATCAAAGCCTATCATTCATCAAGTAGCTGACTGGATAACCTCACTGTTTTCCCTCCTCTCTTCGGAGAAAATTTTGCATGTTATTCTTTAGTGTATGATGAAGCAATTAAATAAAGAGTTCACATACTCTGCTTTTTTTACACACAGGAATATATGGAGCAGCACGGGTGTGGACTCAGGCACATTCACGCACCATCCTGATGGCTAAATTATTCCCTCGGAATAATAATTTTGTATCATTATCTGTGATAAGAATATGCATTTTAGGGGCTAAGTTTTCTTATGAGATGACTTTTTCCTCAAGCAAAGGAGAGACAGAGGAGGAAAAGACCAGCTATTCTGCCTCATGTCTTCCTGGGGCTGGGTATCCGCACACCCCTCTTGTCCACAGGGCTCACTGTCAAGGCACAGCCTGGCTCCAGGACTGTCAAACCTTTGCAGAAAAAGTGCCATGTGGCACACTTATACAGGCAGCAGGGTGGTCTGATCCCACCTCAAGTTCTCAGCTCGGCAGCCGTGTACTGTTTATATGAAATAACTGTAAGATTACAGCTAAGGTGAGAGGTGGTTTTCCCTTGTCTATTAATTGAGCAAGCCAGGTGTTTTAATCCCATTCCCAGTGTATTTCTAAGTAGAACATATTGCTTGTCAGCTACTAAATATTTTAATGGTGTATACTGGTACCTCAATAACGGCCAGTCCAAAGGCAATCCCCATAATTATGAGCAGATGGTCTTCCAGGTATTCGATAATCACTTCTCCACAAGGCTGAAAAATAAGACAAAATGATTAATTATAAGTAAGCAATATTATCCTAAGATTAGTAGGAATGCATCCTCTAAAATGACTCCTCTCACACTCTCTCTCTCTCTGTGCTAAAGAAAGGCTATTTGAATTTACTCTGGCTTGTTGCTAAAAAGAGCACAGCTATATGTACCTTGTGCTCTAAGAAAGATATCTAATCTTTGCTTTCCCAAACATGGAAATGAATTTTGTAGCTGACCATAAAGTGGTACAATTTCAAATGACAACATGCAGCTGTAATGCCTAATGTCTGCATGATTTTCAGGTGTCAAGGAAAGAAGCATTTATTCTTACTTTCATTTGATAATCATTCCCTGCTAGGAAAGAGCCAATGCAGCAATAACCAGATCTGAAAGAGAACTTCAGTTTCCCACTAATCTGATCTTTGGATTTGAAACTTCAAAGCCTATTATTAGAGTTGGGTTCAACTATCAATATTTGGATATAAAACTTAGCTTAAGTATTAATTTTGACAAATGTTTGGTGATCTTGGGCTGGGTCTGGGAGGAAGAGAGTGATCCTATCTGAAGTTCTATGCAGAGCTACTCTCCTTCTTAATAAATGCATACATCTGTTCTTATAATGACTACATCTTCTGCAGGCATTGACAATATTCCTTTTGCAAACTGTAGGGAAAGCCAAATCCATCAAAACTATGGTACTGTTCCAACACTACAACTGCCTTCCCCCCAAATATATTTATATTCTTTCACCGTATTTCCTCCCTCACAGTAAACACATGGGTCTTCTCCTTCTAGTCCTTCTAAAAAACCTCTCATTTAAGCTGACTCAGAACTGCACTGAATTTCAAATCTTTTTTCCTGGATCACAAAAGTTGAATGTCTTTACTAGCACCTAACACCACCATGAAATCTGTGTGTTCATGTAAGTGATATCTTGCACCTGCAGTAATTTCACTGATGGCTTCTCATGTGTCCTTTGAGGGTTTGCCTGAGGCCAAAAAGACGTTAAAAGGTGGCCAAAACAGCCTCTTTGTATACATCTTATTTCCAGATTGGGTTCTGGCATCCTCTACTTAACCAGACTGTTCCCTTGCTTTAAAACAGTATTTGCTTCTGTGGGACTACACAGGGAGGAAATTAGTGTTCACGCAGGACCCGGCTAAGGAGCTGTGCATTTAGAAAAGTATACAGCCAGATTTGGACATGTGCTAAAATCTGCTTTGTGCTTGGTGCAGATTGGCAAACTTTGTACCGCCGGCATTCTAGAAATGCAGCTATTTTGTGCTAGTTTTGCACTTTTTTTCATATTTTTCTTTGTATGCATGGAGTCCAAATTTCCATATAGGGAGACAGATAAATCTTGAAATTAATTAATTGAGATCTCTGCTGCCCACCTACCAATTTTTGAGTATGCTTTCTTGTTGCCTGTCACCAGACATTTTTGCCTTATTATTATATTAACTGCCCCAAGCTTTTCAAAGGGCTGTAGTTGTAGGAAATTGCACTTTAGGTATGCTGCCATGAAGCCTACAGCATGTAAGGTTTCTTTCCAGCAGATCCTGCAAAACAAGTGTGGGGTTTTTTATTAAAGGACTGCAAAACCCCAAAGGTCTTGCATTTAATGTGTTCGTTTTTCAATATCCCTTAGCCCTTTGAAAGCCTCTGAGTCAACGTCTGCCACCAGAATGAGCCTGGGTGGGAACATAACCTTCTGAGGGAGGAACGAGAGCCAAAGGGTAACTGACATGCTGCTCTGACTCAGAGACATGCTCTGACTCAGAGACATACTCTGACCCCAAAGCCATAATAGTTTTCACCCATAGTAACCATGCAGACTGCTGAGGTCTTAAGGGTACTGCACTGCACAGCTAAAATAGAGGCATCCCAGGAAGAGGAAGCAGCAGCGCATTTCACGTATGCATAGTAATTTCATAACAGATGGCACAGGGGCTATTCTGGCTAACGAAAAGAAGGCAAAACTTTGCCTTTTTGGAAAGATATAGAACTGCTGACGATGCCAGTCACCAAAGACAACCTTGGGTTAAAACCTCTTTTTGGAAAGAAGAGTGGAACATTCTATTTTTCTTACCGTTTTATAAACGTATCTGCCTTGAAAGATGGTGCATGATGGGCTCTTGAGTTCACACGCACAGACTTTGCTACCAAAAGGACTATTAAAATTTTTTCCCCAGTCTGCAGGTCCATTCAGCAAACCACAGCACTGGTTCTGCAAGAAAGGAGGAAATGGGGAGATGAGGAAAAAAGTGGTGATTTGCAGTTTGAGGAGAGTAGGCGAGGGAGCTGAGAGGAACAACGAAGGAGACATTTCCTTTCATCTTTTCCCATGTGGAATTGTCCCACATTGGTATGTCTCAAACACGCTTTACATTTCCATAGCAGTTACAAGAATGTAAGTGCACAAGTTTAAAAAAAGAAAAGAAAAAAAAAAAAAAAAAAAGCCCAGGTTTTAAAAAAATATTGTAATACTATAAAGCTAGTAATTGTCAGTGCCAGAATGGAACTGGAACATGGAACAACGCTGGGTATAGTATTTTTCGAGAATCAGGTCTTCTTTCTGCAAGTTATACTTGCAGAAGTTAAGTAACAGCTCCAGTAACATCCACATTTCACATCTTGAAAAGCCAGGCTGAAAATGTAAAATTCAGGCACATAAAACTCTGAAATCTAGAAAAATAACCACCTTGAATGATGGTTAGCCCTTTAAATTAGAAATGGACTGAGGCGGCCAGGGCTCCATTTGGGGTTTGTGAAACCTAAACCAGGTGCAGTTTCACTTCATGTTCCACTTTATTCAAGCCACTAAAGCTCAGGGGTACAGACTTGGTTTGAGGTCCTCCCTCTTTTAAAAAGCAGCTGGAAATGTTCACATAATTTTGTATAAAAGCAAAGGCCGTGGGACATAATAAACCAATCCTGGTCTATTTAAAAATTAATACAGTAATTATGGGATTTTTCATTTTGTTCACCCTTCAATCATCTCTCCAGGGAGCTGCTTATTGTACCAGAAGAAATAAGCTGGCTCAGAAGCAGAGGACAGGGCTGAAGGTGGAATGGGGAAGGAGAAGTGGAAGTAATATAAGCCACCCAAATATTGTTTCTTGCTTCCTTTTCTTTCACACCAGCAACCTTTAAAAATACAGGAATTCTTTAAGCCTACCCATCAAAGTCATCACCCATTAGGGACTAAAAAAAAAAAAAAACAACAGCAGGCACTCTGTCAATGTATAGACACAGCTGCTAGTGGGAGGGGCAGGGGTCTACATCAGTGATATCAGTGAGATTCAAGGGTATTCTCTGTGTGATACCCAGGAGCAAGCTGGCACTAAGTCTCCACCTTCTGGAGTCCTGCAGGTGGGGGAAGCCAGGATAGGTATAAGCACAGTGAGAACAAACCTCCCTTTTATCATATTTTCTTCCCCCTTCTTACACAGTGAAGTATGGCATTTAATGACTTCATAGCAATAAGATATTCCAAATGAAATACACTCCTGAAGTTTTCCTTATCCCTGGGGTAGTCTTGCCTTAAGAGTACTGGATAGTTCTTAGCTGGGATACAGTGATAGAGCAATGTCCCTTCGGAAGGGAAAGCTGTAACAAAGGAGCAGGCAGCCTTCTCATGAAAGAGCTTAGCTAGCTGTCAGTCTCACTTGCATGTTGTGTGTCCTTGCTCCACTGCTCTTATAAACAGTATTGCACAAAGAAATCATCACAGAAAGCCCATGTCATATCAAGAGAGCAGAAGCCCCTTGCATAGTATTTTAACTTGCCTTTAAGTCAGACCCTTCCCCATCCCCAGGGAATGAAATTCAGACCTATGGCAGAGTAGCCATAAAATGAAGCACAGACAAATGCTAGAGATGGAACAGAGAGCAACAACCCCTGCCCTTTGTTACATTTTAATTACCATTCTCTCAAACTTCTGGAATTTCTCTTGAAACTTTTTAGATTCTTCTGTAGAGCTTTGCAATGAATTCACACTCTCCACGAGAGTCTTGTTAAGGGATGTTTCAATCTGCAATTCCAAACATTTTATTAGTTTTCGGGGTAGAAACAAAACTCTGGGAAGACATCAATGAAAATGCAGAATAATACTGTACCTGAGATCTATACACTGCTCCTAAAATACCTCCTGTGATCTGAAGGATCAGGATCAGAAGCAGTCCAATAAAAAACTAGGAAGAAAAAAAAAGGGGGAGAAAACTAGAGTACTTTTGACCAAGATGATATAATTTCTTCTAAGTGAATGTTAAGCTTTCATGTGCTTGAATAACCATGTAGGTAGAATGAACTGAAGTTCCAGTCAGAGCTGCTCCTTCTTTGGCGATGAGAAAATGGGGTGCTCGAGATAGAGTGTGCTCAGCTGGTGATCAAAACAAGGTGCACACCAGAGTAGTGACATGATGGGCAGTGTGCAGGTGAGAGGTGTGGGGCAGGAGGACAGGGAGCACCAGCAAAGGGAGCAACTGGGAATTTATGAAATTAAATGGGATAGGTAGTGGGGGAGGACTGGTGGGTGGAAAAAAAGCTAGTGACGTGCTCGGGGCTCTCTGGACCCTGTCTTGTTGATGAGACCACCCATCATTTTTTCTGCACTAGAATTCAGAAGGGGCTCAAGCACAAGATAAGCAATGAAAACACATGACCATAATGAAGCATTTGGTTAAACAAAAAGGCCCCCATCTTCATTTGATACTACTTGCAAGGACCTTATCCATCAAATGTAGCTGTGACCTGTTAAATGTAGCCAAATGTTTTTCTCCCCTACCAACAGCAGCATGCACCGGCTCTCCTTTACGGCACCACAGCATCCCAGAAACCCAAGGACCATAATGATGGAGCCCACGGCTATCAGCAGATCAACCCCTGCAAACAGGCTGCTGTCTATCTCCAACTCCTGAAAAGAGAGGGGAAAAAAATCTTTCAGCTACAAGAAGCTCCTCCCCAAAAACAAGACAATTACTTCATACTGATAAATATACTGATTAGCAACCATGGAGAAATTTTGATCCATAAATAAACATGCCCCCTTCTTAAATGTTTTGTTGGGGAGCTCGGTAGAACCTACCTTTTCACTGTCTTTGTCTCTGCACAAGATGAAAGTCAACTTTACAGAGTAAATAAAGATCTCTTGCCTTTAAAGTGGCTTTCAGTTAGTTTTCAGTCAATGAATCTTTGCTTTTTACTGGAAGTAGCAAAATTGATTATCTCGAAATCTTTCCTACATTAACTAAATGTTAAAGAAACAAAACCTCTGTTTGTCATTAGAAGGCCAGGAACATACTCTGTGGTTGTTCCTGAGAGAACACTTCTCAGAGCGATGCTGGATATACTAGAGAAATAGTTGGATGCATTTTCCAAAGCAGCTTTCTTTTTCTTTTTTTTTAGGCATGATCTCTAATATTACCCTCAGAGATGAGGACTGTATTTTGATGTGTGGGACACTCAACTAAACAATTCATATACCTCAATATTATTAAATATCAAATTATTCAGTTCCCACAGGACTGACTAAGGCCAAAGGCCAAAATAGAGAAAAATGTTCAAAGAATATTTTCCAGTGTGGCTGGTGCCAAGATTAGGAAAAATGTCTGGAAGTTGTCACATTTATCTTCTGATGGAAATTGCAAAGGTATATAGACAAGTATAATTTGAAGAATGTGTTGTTCTTTCCCCTTCCAAGTTGGACTGAACCTCCTGTTATTTATTCTTAGAAAGCTCTATTCATCTACAGCCAAATCCTTACGGTCTGTTCAATTATTACTCAGGCAAAACATACATTGGTTTTGAATGGGAACTTTGCCTGCCTAGAGGCAAAAATGTGAGAAAATGCTTTCAATTTTGGTCCCTATTCTTAATTCACAGGTTTTGGGGAGTACTAAGTGTCACTTCAGGAAACCAGTTTGGGACACACTTAGGTATGCTTTTCTGAATAGGAAATCTCTCAAAAAATAAGAAAGGGTAATAGTGGTTGTGGTTTTCCAAGCTCCATTGTACCATCTGAGCCATCATACTAGAGGTGGTCAACTAGCAAGTAAGGCAATTTTAGCTTCTTGAAAAATGTTGATTGAGAAGTGAAAGTTGTCATTCTTCCTCTTCCACAGCAGAGAACAGCGGAGCTCTCCACCATGACCTAATTTACCCCATGGCACAAGGTTGTTATGAACGGAGTTCTGTTGCATCTGCCAGACATGAGACATCTGGGACTGGCTAAGGGCAACAGTGTCATCAGCCAAACAGGAGGAAATATATGAAGCTATCTTCTTATCTTCACCATCTTTTTATTTCCAGATGGGAAAATACTGACTTAAAAATTATTGTTCTTAACTAACGGACTGCGGTAGAGCAACAGAGGAGTGACCTGAAGATTTGCAACTTAATCTATACCAAAGGCTCAGTCTGAAAGCTGAAAAAAATGCTCCCATGTCACACTTGGCCATTTTTTCACTTCTGTGGCCAGAAAGCCTTTTTGGAAATAGAAATATGCAAATTAAATTTTCAAATTAATTTACATTTCTATGGCCCAAATTCACAGGAAGAAATATACTGCCTAAACCTTAGAGTCAGATTGTTCTTCCTGTTAGTGTTACAAAGCACCAACATAGAAGATTGCGCAATGCCTTTCAGAGAAGCATCTACGAGCTGTGAAATCAGCTTCACTCAAGGGTGGTGGAAAATATGCTGCGAGTCAGAGGCCAGTGACACTGGGAGCACACTTGGCAAAAGGTTGGCAGGGCCCACAGGGCCAAAGGGCCTTTGCACCAACAGGATCAGCCTTTGCTGCATGTCTGCAAGGTCAAGGGCTCCTCACAATTGTATTTTCCCTAGCTTTGCAGAAAAGGAAAGTCATAAAGTCTGAAGTAATTTAATAACCCAGATAAAATCCAGGAGGAGAACTCAGGGACTTTCTTCTGCCCTCCAGGAGGGCTGTTAGGACATTTTAATCTTAAGTAAAGATTTTTGGGTGTCTAAAACTCTTTCTATATAAACATGAGGGAAAAAGGATAAGGTGTTTTTAAGGAGCCACTGAAAATAGAAGGTAAAAATCCTTGCTCCCTTTCAAAGTTGCAGTTACTAGGGAAATAAGAATTGTGTTATTGAGGATAGTGAGAAAGGTAAAAATGTTCCCTACAAACAATATGGAAGTAACCCTAGGAATATATACGACTATACTATTCTAATAGGGAAAAACATTGAAAAGTCTAGAAGCCGCATGGCTTCTCATTATTCTCTCTAATGCTGAAATCAATAACAAAACCATAATTAGTTTTCATTAGAGGAGAGAGAGACACATGTTTTCCAACAGAAATCAGTGTGCATCTGCAAGAACCTACATTAATAGCACTAGAAGACACTTCCTGTAGTCACGTGTCTGTGCTTACGTCAATCACTTTATCTGACTACGTACACCACCTTGTTTAATCTTAAATATCATAAAATGCATTAATCTTTACCCACACAAACCATCTCAACAAAAACATAACAAATTTGTGGAAATGAAGATGGGAAATGAAAGTGTATGCAGTGGCTTCCACATTTTATGTGGTTCTAGTATGACCGCATACATTTACCTGCTGAGCATCTTTGCTAACACGTATCCATATAGAGACTCCCAAAATAATGGAACCACACACCTGCAGGAGAAAATAAAGAATATTTAGAAAGATCAGCAATTTTAGATTAAAGTTCAGCATCTAAATTGCACCAGATGCTGGCCAAAATTCTGAAATCATTTGTTTGGCAAAGTGAAAGAAACATGAATTGCTGGAGCGTAGAATATTGATTCATATCCAGGAAACTTCATAAGGGTAGTTAAATCTTCAGTTATGCACCAAATCCCTGATGTTTCTACCTCAGAGGAGTCCACATTTCCTTGATGATTTATACATGTGGTTGGGAAGCACACAGAAATTCTGTCAGATGAGAGAGGAATATAAATTGCTGTTATAGGTATACAACATGGCTGTAAAGAACATTGTTTCGAGTATAATGGAAACACATGAGATTTGATAAGGGATGTTTGTATAAATGTTGTTTCTAGAATTATTCAGGACACACATCTAGAGGCATATTCTCTATGGTAAAACTATCAGGAAAAGTTCTAAATAAAGTCTTTCTGCTGTTTCTATTGCAACAATATCCTGTAAAATGCTATAGTTATTATTTCCATTACATTTTTACAGAAAACAACCATATTCGGTCATGTACATGTGAAAGTTAGACTGGGATGACTTGCTTTAAGTTGTTGAAGTCAGGGCAGATGAATCCCAGGTCCAGACACATTCCCTAATCACTAGTTGTGCTCCTGTTTCGTTGACCGTTCCACTATGCGCCAGTCACTGTATTCCTAACCTTGTCCGTGGTGATTCTTACTCAGAATTTCTCTTTATTAAGTGTTGGAGACAGGTAATTAAGAGGCTAATCAGGTGTAAGGATTGTGCCTACTGAGACGACTGGTAGGAAAGAGAGATCAGTGAGGACCAGAGACTAGTCAGATTTAGAATTATGTTCCTGTATGTTATTAATACTCAAGTCATAAATGGCCCTGAAATGTTGTTATGAGCTTCCCATGAAGACTGGGACTATTCCTAACCTTTTAAAATTAAAAGAGCTATTTTTATATGTTTTAGATAATTTTTCTTAAAAAATACTTTCCCCGCAAAAGGTTTCATATAATATTCAGCATCAAAGACCATAACGACTTTAGCAGATTATTTAATATGGAACAGAGCCAGTTCTCAGACATGAGTACCACACATTTTCCTGCTCTAAGTTAAGCTCCTATAAGTACATTTTAAACATGAAAAGGAAAGTTGTACAATTGATGACAGCTATATCATGTTATCAAATTTAACTAGAACTCCCCACTGAAACCTTCTGAATCCCACTGAATCTGCCTAGAAACTGATGGTATCGTATGACTCTATATTTGGGTCTTGTTCAGCAGTACTGTGTGAGCCATGTGGCTATGCACCAGACAACATGGGCTTGCTAATGTGAAAATTTCCACTGAAGCAGCTATTGCTACAAATCCAAACAGAATTTGGCCCACTGCCTTATTTGTTACATAGGACCTCCCATAAAAATACAGCAAAGTAACAGAAGTAAATATAGCTGAGTGTACAGGAACTTACCAATCAGATGGCAATGTTACAATATTTATTTCCTCCATTCAGAAAAGAAACATCATTTATAAATCAAAATTTTTAGTAAGGTGTATATATTTTAATTATAAAAATAGAGTTGGTTTAGGCTGATAAAAAAATGCTCCATTTCAGTAAAATCTTAATGTTTTGTTTCTGTTTATTTTCATACTATACGAAGTGTACAAGAACACACAAAGAAAAGTTTTGAAATAACACATCAAAATGGTCTGTTCCCAAAGAGTCCAAGTCAAACATTTCAAGTTTGCTGGAATACTCCATCCTAATTATTAAATTTTCTTAAAATAAAGTTTCGACTAAAGAAACTTTCATTTCAGGAAATTTCATTTTTAATGAACCAGTATTTTCCAATGGAATAAAAAGAGCTTCTTTGAAAAGGTCCTTACCCGTTTTCCCAAAACTAGATGGCTATCGTAGTTTTGCCTCAACCCTAGACCAAGAATCAGTGACCTTGTCACCATCTCACTAAACTGACCAGGAACAGGACTGTTGTCCCTCAAATTCAATCGGTCCTTCTCTTCTCGAGCCCTTCAGTCTCGGCGTGATGAAGAAATACAGCCTAGTTACATTAATATCACCTCAGATAAGCCTGCCATGACTCTGGACTAGCAGCATATCAAGACTCTGCACTTCTCAGACATGGGAATACCAAACCTATGGGGAATTCCCTCCGCTGGCACACACTTTTTAAGCATCCAGTTTAAGGGTATCAGAAGGAAAATAAGGTTGCTCCTCTTCAGGAAAACATTTGACTGGAATACTTCCTTGAGACACCTGAAATTAACAGTGCTAGGAGGGTCCTACAGAGGATGCGACCTATGGCTCAGCACACCTGCAAAGTTGGTGTTGCTGCATGCAGGGATCAAGATGTAAGGTATGGGGAAAGGGCCACTTTGGTTGTAGATGGGACTGCAAGTCTCGTGTCAACAACTGATCAAAGATTGCTCTGTCACTAATCGGGTTGCCTCAAACTAGGATCAGACATCAATATTTAGTGAAAAAAAATGGTAATTCTACAATCTTGCATGATGTGGAGTAGCAGAAGCTGACAGAATGAGGGCAGCAGGTGAGACTGGATATCCTGCAAACTCTGAAGAAGAGAAAGAGGAAAAATCTGACCTACGTGTCAGGTTTAATGCACAAAACTGACTTAAGGATTAACTGAAGGAGTATTAAAAGCTCCATATAGGCACCCAGCTCCAAAGCACAGGTCTTCAAAAGCCCATGCTCAGCTTTCTTTCACCAAACTGGGAAGATACAAAACTCCATGGACATGCTGGAGCCCAGCACGGGGCTGTAGATTGCCAGGGGGCACACATCATGTAGTGAAGCCAGAGCCATTTTGCAGAGCTTCCTTAGACTATTCCAGGGCTTACACGCTTAGCGCTATGCTGTAAGAGCTGCTTAGAAAAAGGCATCAGAATACTGGAAAGCCCATTCCCAAGTCCCCTAAGAGGGGACACTCCCAGGGAGATTGCAAAAAGCTTAAAATGAAAAGATGCCAGTTAAATATACAGCCATTGCTCTTATCTAGTTAAGGTTAAAGTCACCTTCATTTCCCGCTACCAGTTTAATTTTCCACTTGCCAACTGCCTTGTGCACCAGGGAGAGCAGCTGTGGGACCAGTGGCTATAAAGATATCACTGTTCCCTGTACTTTACTACAGCAATTTAATGATTTCCAGGAATTAGAGACAGGAATGTGAATCAAAGAATTCAGCTTCATTGTACTCCGTCAGCCCATATTCCTGTTTGCACCATGTCTGTTCTTCCCTGCCTTGGTAGTGCTAAACCCCTTCCTTTAAAAGAAGTAACTATAGCTGCCTTCCTGTCCTCCTCTGTCCCATCCAGGCAGTGACATGCACAGCAAATGCTCTCAGCGTATTCTTCCCCAGAATAGAGTACAGATTTTCCTACCTTTGGCATAAAGATAGGTTTGGGAAGTTTGTTCTGCACCTGCTCGTTTCCTGAGCTTTCAAGACTCCCCCAGGATCGCATCCTGTGCTTTTTCCTAGGAAACCCATTCTGTCACTGGAGGCTTAGGCATGGGCATTATTCACACGTTCGTTCCAGAAGCAGTTTGGAGCTTTTCTAATACTAGTCCGAGACATTTGCCTGTGTTTTAGCTTACAGTAAATACAGATGAATGTGAACAGGAAAAACTTCCTGAGGGGCAGGAATTTCAACTCAGAAACTTATGGACTCTTTTAAGGACCATTGCAGAAAAACTTCAACACAGATGTCAAATATCTTCAATCTGCCTTGATGGAGGTGGAGGAAGAAGAGGGGGGAGGCAGTCCAAAACCATCACTGGCCTGTAAGGAATTTCTTTGTGAGGTTCACAAGTGATCAAAGAATTTTGCTAATTCTTCTCATTTTGGCTAGCCACAAATTTTCCAAGGCTACTGTCCGTGGTGCCTTTTGAATGGTATCACCTTTTCACTTGAAAAAAAAACCCTTGAGGCAAACCCCATAATGTGGCTGGTAGTTCCGCTTCTGGTTTCAGTGAACCCCTGGTGAACCTGACAAATCTCTGTCAGGAAAGCTGACAGTGAGGTTGAACCATGAGAGAAATGTTCTTTAACTCAAATCTTTCCAGAGCTTCCAGGATCTGAAATTCTTGCAAACCAGCTGAGATGTGATAAATAGAGAAATATGGTTCAAACGACACCCAGAAACCTGCCTGCTGCCCTGTGGTGTATCTGCCTTGATACAGCTATTGGCAGTACTGCCAGCCCATACCATTTTACAAACGTTTACTGTCCACCATCAGAAACTAATTATGACACTGAACGTAAAGCAAAGAACCGCAAAGAAGGATATGAAAACCATTTATCAATTAGGAGGCTAAAAATACAAGTGAATTTTCCGTGTCTTCTGTTGCAACTACATTTTCAGGATTATGCCGTTTGGATGCAAGCAGCAGACAATAAAAGCAAGAGAACAATGCATTTTAAGTGGAGAGTCTGTTATCTTCCGACCGAAATGAGTGATGTCCCTTGACATGAAGGGCACGATATGGGCAGGGAGACAGACTCATGGCTGGTCTACTTTTGAATGGGGAGGGAAAGCTATTTTGAAGGAAAAAGACAAAGGGAAGGGCAAAAGTTAAACATATTCTCCCCTCCCTGATTTAGAATTGTACTCTGGTTCCACTTATGGTCTATTTTCTTTACAATTCCTTCAACTACAGCATTCAGATAATGTTGAACACATTTCATGCATCACTAATAACAATTTAAACACCAACTTACCCAAAATAAGAAGTTGAAGATGAACATGGAGTACTTCATGCAGCTGCTTACACCCGCCATTTTCAACAAGCTGAGACAAAAACAAGCACTGCAGAAGAAGCTTTCCTAAGAGTTTGACCTCGATATAGAAGTTGTTCCTGCGTCTTCAGAAAACCTCTCAAACCACGTCAAATACACCGTGCTCTGCTACTGAAAGCAAAAATTGTGACCAAGGCATTGACAATTATTTAAATAGTTCCTATACCACAGCTAAATATTAACCAGAGCATTGGGGAAGCACTACCAGGTGTTATCACTGAGTCTCCAGACTCTTACTGCGTCTCTGTTTTTGTACTTTTCTACAGTCCTGCGAGTCTTATTCTACGCCTCAAAAGTAAATAGATACTGCAGCAAAAGTCACAGTTTCAAGAGAAAGAGAAGTGAGCATAAAAACATTTTACAGACCTGCTTTCAAGAGGTGGAAATTATTGCATTTCTTAATGCTTTTAAGTTACAGGGTTTACTCTTTCATTGCCCACTGATCACTGCCAACATTCATTCGCTCGTGTTCACCCTCCCACTCCAGACATTCAACCGGCATAAAGGGATGGGTCTGTTATCCCAGCAGAGGAGGGGTAAGGAATCTGCCGCCATTTTCTCCCTCTCGGTGTCTACTTCAGCTCCTTTTCCTCTTCCTCACCCAATCAGGACCCCGGGAACCTGAGCACTGTGGTACAGAAAACATCCTGCTGTGCAGGTTTCCAAAAGTGTTGTGAACCCCAGCACAGTAATCATGGTTCTGGCGTCAGATGCAGGATACCTCTCAGCAACGGGAGCTGGATGTGTCCCAGAAGGCAAGGCAATAAACCTGTTCCATTAGTTTTGTTTTATGTCTTGTTTGTTTTCTTAAACTATGAATCCTAAGGGGAAAATAAAGGTATCATTGCTCTGTTTTTGCTATCAGCCCATTTTCTGGAGAAGCCCCGTATAGCAGTCCTTGGAGGTATGAGGGTCAGACACAGGTTCCCCTGAGTTCGTCATAAAAAAAGAAGCTTTATTTTGCAGGTGAGCACAAAGGACTTAAATGTGAGACATTCAGGACATGCTGGAATCAACTGATTTATGAAGCCCCCTTGGCCCAAGCCCATTTTTCAGTCTTCACTTTCGGTTCACATTCTTCAATTCTGCTGTCTGTATTTGAAAAAAAAAATGGGAAGTGTTAGTATATAACACACCTGTAGATGGTGACAAAAAGATGTAACTTAGAGCCTGGCTTTTGTAGGATCCACAAAAAAAAAATCTACTTTACATTGAAAACAACATTCTCTAGTTGCTCTCTAAACCAGTTTTTAATGTTGTGATCTCTCAATTCATTTTCCCTAATTATATTTAAACAGACACAACCATTCCCATTTTTATGAGTGGCTCTATACCTGTCTTTGCCTTTCTGGGCTCCTTTCTGGAGTAATGCTCTTTTTTCTAACTCTAGGAGATCAGCTGTCTGACTAGTTTATTTTGCAATATCCACCCTGAATCTGAGAATGTTCCTAAAAATAATTGCTCTCATGAAATACAGATTTTGTAAGGATTGGGAGAAACAACTGTGTGGTATGGTTTAGATCTAAAGCACTCAACAAATAAGTAAGTTGAGAAATGTGGGTGTCTTTATGGAGGCATGCCATAGCCACAGATGAATCATGACAAAAGTTTAAAGGGCCATATAAAATTGTATGAAAGGGCCATGAAGGGTAATAAGAGAATCACAGATGACACAGGATTTGAAAAGATAAGTCTGCAATCAGACCATGCAATTGCAGTAAACTAAGTTTATTGTAAGCGGAGTTCGGAAACAGCATTTTGTACCAAAAACTACACAGCTACAAATCTTCACACACAGTAGATGATACTCATTAAAGAAGGTTTGAGCTGTAGCACTGTTGTCTGTGAGATGCTTAGCCCAGGCATTCAGTCAGAGATGTCTGAGGGAAACTGTGCTAGGGCAGTAATAATATAGGAAGCAAGCATGAGCATTCACACACTGGCCCTTCGAAAAAAGCTGGTGTGCAAGGACCTTTCATGTGCAGGAGGTCCACTCCCTCTTTGCCTCCCTGCTTTCCTTCACAGCACTCTTGGATTTTGGGCAGGTAGAGGTCTGCGCCAGCAATGCCCCGGAATGACTCCCAGAGTGGTATGCAGGCCCGGGCTGTCGGAGGACCCCAGGCCAGTCCAGGGGCAGAGAGCTCCACAGCATCTCTGGACCCTCCCAGCCTCCGTCCTCGGGAGGTGTAAGACCAGCCCAGCTGAGTTTCTCATTCAGTCAAGGAAATTTAAACAACTAAAGATAGATATGATTTAGATCTGAAACCTGTTTTCATTACAATTCTATACTTATGGCTCTGGATGTTGAAGAAATTTGCCAGAACTTCTGGGATTATTTTTTACTGACCTCTTTGGAAAAAGCAAAAATAGACTTTCCTAGGACCTGATAGATGCTCCTTTTCTAAGATGGCAAATAGAAAATAAGGTCAATGTTAAATACATTTCCTAGGGGGTTTCCAATGAGCTAAATATGGCTGCTGAATAGAAACTCAGTATCTGTATTTACTACAATTCCTACATGTTTTATATCTGTATTTAATGGTATCCAAAGTGCGTACCAAAGTATGGGTGCAGCACAGGGTGGGAGCCTCTGACGCAGCACATACAGCTCCCCACCGTAGCAGGGAAGCTATGACGACATGCTGACTTTGCCCACTGTGTCACACAAGAAACCGGAAAGGGAGAGGCATATTTTGGCAGAAAAAAATGCTAGTACACCTGTAAGGAACCTGGAGTAAAGCACCTCACCGTTGACACTTCCCAAGCAGCTATAGTTGGTTTTATAATGGTTTTATCTTCCTTCTCCTCTGAACCTTTCCTCATTTTGAGTCTTTTTCTTCTCTTTTTTACAACCTCCATTTCCCCTTGTGAGGTGCCTCTCCATGGTCAGGCTGTGACCAAAGCCTATATCAGATGATTCACTGTATATAGCCAGTCATACATTCAGGTCCGGACTTGAAAAACTGGTTTGTCCTGGGTAGCAGTGAGGTCTTTGAACAGTGGGGTGTGGATAGTGGATAATAAAAGTTTGTTTGTCATTGGAATTTCTGCTCAGTGCGGTGATAAACGCACAACAGAGAAGGCGGGTAAGAACTATATTCAGCATGGAGCTTGTAACCTCAAAGTGATCAGTAGATCTCTGGATCTGCTGAATCAACAGGGACGGCCTATATAAGCTGTGCAGAGACAGATCTCAGGCTGTCACAGCATTCGTCCTTCAGCCGAAGGGATACTTCACCTGTTGCCCTGGGGTCTCTACTCAATACAAGTTTCTGCATTTCCTGATTAAACTCCTGTCTAAACAGTAGCGCAATGTTTAAGAGCTTTTTCATGCTTTCACAGTAAGTTGCTCACCCATGATGCCAGGTGAAACAAATGTTGTGTGCCATCAGCCCTGACACTGATCATTTTGGCACTCATCTAAATAGGGAATGCTGCCTAAAGAAGACATATTTGCAGTTCAAACAGCAGGACAAACACCTTCAAACCAGTGGGAAATGGGAGCATCTGTTTTTGTCCTTGAAGGTATTTGCAACACTGGGTCTGACTGAGATTGCAGTTGGTCTACTATACCTCATGTCTTGGGTTCAACCTTAGCAAATAGATCTTACTGCAATAATTAGTAATACTTCAACTGTAAAACTGAATTATACTTCCATGTCTGACTCTTAGCAAAATACTACAGTGTCCTAACAGATCTTATTTATGGAGAATCATTTTGTGTTGGAGTAAATGTGGCACTGACATGGCTGCTGAGTTTATACCCAGCTCCCAGAGTCAAACAATTACAAGATTCCTTGCCCTCATCTTAAAATATCCTTTTGATCTTGAGATGAAGGGTAAGAGTGGAAAGCATGACAAAAATATACCTGAAAACTCCAAAGGCTGAATGAAAAGTAGAAGAAAGAAGACAGCAGTATTTTATTTTTTCACGAGCCTTACACGCTTTTACACTATTTTGGGTAGCTGCCTTGTGATCGACAATACTATAAGCGGATAAACTTTTTGCAAACTTCTATGCCTCACATGAAGGCATAGAAGGCTATGACTGAGTCCAAGGCTGATCGATCCTGCAATTGACCACTTGAAAAGGAATGAGAGTATTTTCAGCCATGTATATGGCTGGCTGAGTCAGCTGTCTAGGGTGCTTTCACAGCTTCTGCAGAGGAATGGGGACTGCTAGGGAGTGATTTAGCTTATCCTAAAATAGGTATGAAAACAGGTCAGGTGAACTGCGCCCTTAAACTGCCTGTTTCTTTCCACTGACCAAAAAGTCAGCCCAGGAAACTGAAGTCATATGAGAAGGCTCCCACTCAAAAGCCTCTCCATTGGGACAGCATCTCTGTTTCACAGCAGACCCTTTCTGCTCTTATAGTGCTCTAAAGAAAGAACATGTTTCTTTCCCTTTTAGGACTTCTTTACTCTGTTAGAGTGATGCAAAAAGTGAAAAAAAAAAAAAAAGAAATGAAGTTCTGGCTTTAGTATTTAACACTGTGGGCACGTCTGCACAGTTTTTGCCATGCGATGGCTTTGCCCTGACCCAACCCAAAGCTGGATAGCTGCCTTAGCATGGTGTGCAGCCGAAAGCAGCAAGCCCAGTCTCTCAGAGGCACTGATTTGTTGCAGCTCAGCAATGCACTGACCCCAGCACCACCCCAGTTCCACCTCAGAGAGAGGTAGAATCCGCCCAGAAAGCCGTCCAGTGTGGTCCCTGGGTGCCAAATTCCGCTACTGACTTCTCTCCTTTCTTCTCCTCTCTCCTACTGCTCCCTGAACTGTTACAAGGATGAACAAATTTGTGCCTCAGAGCAGGATCTGGAGCCTCTCAGTTTCCTATGGGCTATATGAGTGAACTGGGCTCCTGTTAGTGTCATACTGGGAATTGATTTCTTGTCTGTTAGGGCTTTTACTTTCACTTTGAAATAATAGGTGTTTGTAGCCATTGACAATGTAAACCCTTCTTTCATGATGACTATGTTCCT